ATAGTTGGCCGAACTCTCACTAGATACAGCTCTGCAGATACCTAGTTCCTGAAAGTATAGATATGTATAGTTGGCCGAACTCTCACTATATACAGCTCTGCAGATACCTAGTTCCTGAAAGTATAGATATGTATAGTTGGCTGAGCTCTCACTATATACAGCTCTGCAGATACGTAGTTCCTGAAAGTATAGATATGTATAGTTGGCTGAGCTCTCACTATATACAGCTCTGCAGATACCTAGTTCCTGAAAGTATAGTTGGCCGAACTTTCACTAGATACAGATCTGCAGATACCTAGTTCCTGTGGGTTTTTAAATCAGGAAATATTTTAACCACTAGTTTTATCCGGACTACCTAATGTTTGAAACTCAGGTGGTGCAACAAATAGTGATACAGTAAAACCTTACGAAACCTTAACAAATAGTTTGTTTTTATAAACTGTTTTTACAACAGTGTAGTTTCTTCTGTTAAAGTTTTTAATATTACCTTCCGATTAGATTAAGCTTTGTACATAGAGCGACGCAACATAAGATTGTACTTGTAATGTGATGTGAAGAAAATGATTGATAAGGAACTGTGAATACAACTTACCTTAATAAAAAAGTTGCAGAGCTATTAATATAGTTTTATCCTTTTAAGAACGACGTTGCTCTTCATGTTTTGGTTTCATCATTAACTCCGACTTCTTCACGCATTATTCAAGACCAATATAAATTTTAAGATTTCATTTTATACATTTAATTCTGTATTTTTTGAAATATTCAGTTACTACCATTGAACTCACTATTTAAGTAGACAGAAATTCGAAAAGAGTAAAGTACTAAAAAAAACAAGATACAGAATGCTCATTTGATCTGATTAATTTTAAAAATATGACATAGTTTACTCAGAAAATGAAAATTTTAAGCGTCATGAAAGTCCACCTTACATGCGAAAATTTAAGTGCAAGGAAATTCCAAATTGCCTGCAACATCATAAGTTATAAAAGAAGATGTAAATGTTTTATCTGTGATGAAAATGTTGACTGCTGCTGTACCTAATGAGCATGCAGTACGTTTTTGTGGAAAGCATAAGTTATAACATCAAGTATTCAAGGTACACAAAAACACGTAAAATGGCTTTAACTTTCTCTGTATTAATATTGGCCTCTCAAAGATGCGCTCTTGATTGACATGCTGAATATACTGCTTGAAGAAATTGTTGCTCCATCACTAAATACCTGAGGTTTTAAAACACTGTTCAATAGCTTTACAGCTGCCTAAACTATAAAGCTCAAAATTTAAAAACACCATGTCGATATTTATTTTGCCTTTCAGGGAAACCTGAAGTTCTTGAGAAATATACAACGAATGCTTAAGAAGATGTAAAATCACTACACAGGAGTCACTACTAAGTAACAGCATGTTTTATTTTAGTAGAATAGAAAACAAAACCATAAGCAAGTTAGTATGTTACATAATATTACTATGTATCTATATATAAACACCTATATCTAAAAAATAGCTTTGTACACTCTTATAAACACTGTACATGATGCATGCAGACCAACCTGACATGATTCTCTGTCAATTTGTTATGAAATGGAAATGTTTTGGGGGTTGTGGGTTTAAGAATGATGCAATGATGGAACTAACATCCATGCTTTTTAAACTTTGAAAATTAACTAAGTCACACATTATTTATGATAAAGATGTAAAATAAACATGGGAAGTGCCAAAACAGCTTCAAAACCCTTTTTTTCTGAATAAAATAGATCATCTAATTGAAACACCAAAATTGGCTGTCTTATTATACTAAAAAAAACAAATTACTGACAACTTTTGGGTTTTGTTGAACATGTCATCACTTCATCTACTAAGGCTGTGAGAACGCTCTCGTAATCCACTTTTTACCTCCATTGATAGACTGCTAGACCTTTGATCTTGTTTATGTAAAAGCAGCTCTGCTGGTAACTTGGCAAAAAATGGATGGTCAAGAGCTTCTGCTAAAGTGATTCTTTGAGATGGTTCATAGTCTAACATCCTGAAGACAATGTCAAACAAGTTTCTATGATCTTCATCTATCATCGGGATGTATCGCTGAGTGAGTAAAAAAAATTAGAGAACTTTACAGAATACGGAGTTTACAATGGTAAGTGTATGTTGAAGAAAATATAGTATGTATATTTCTGAGGTTATTACCAACTAAAAAGTGTCTGCTCAGATATTCTAAATTTTAATAAACAATCACTTATAAAAACAGAAGCATTTTCTCTTTCAAATCTTTGAAGTTCTTATTACTGAACTGGTGATCTATG